TTTAAAATGGGTTTTGCAGATTCTCACATCTGGCCTCATTGCTCACTTAACACCACAGACATGCATGCCACGTGGGAATGCATACCAGTTAAGCAATTCTGGCACAACATCACTGACAACCTCTCTCTCTTGCTGGACTGCCGCACCCCCTTCTTCCTTGGAGACATTTCCAATGTGAACATCAACATTACATCAAGTGGAATTCTGTCCATATCATTGCAAACAAAACTATCCTCATGAATTGGAAATCACGACAAAAGCAATATCACAATTTGGAAAAGCCTAATTATGGAATTCATTCTAATGGACAAATTATCTGCCGGCATAAAAAAACCAAACAATGACATTGATGCAATCTGGAATCCATTCATTGATACATTTAATTAATAATCCTCAATCCGATTTCACCCACTACCCCTTTCTACTTCTTTAAGGTCATGCTACTATTTATATGCCCCCCCCCCTCCTAGGATATATGACTATTATATTGTTACTCATTTCATTTTAACTATGTCATTTATTACTCTTCTTGTCTGGTCCCACACACACACACACACACACACACACACACACACACACACACACTTAGTTTTATTTTGTTGTCTCCATGTATATTTTATTATTTGTCTTGTATACTTGTAGATGCTCCTTATTGTCTTCTGTGTATATGTGACACTGTACGTGTATGCACTTATCTTGTAACTCCTATATCGCTAAATAAACTAATTATAATAAATGATACTATGATTGCAAAGTGAGGCAAAAATTAAATAGACATCCAAAACAAAAGAATCAGTGTCGCAATTAAATGTTTAGAATTTGAATATCAACATGAGTGAAGCCTCTTAGCTATTTGTAAAGTAGCGACATTTGATCCTTTTAACTGTAGTTTTTTTATAATAAACATGGGATTCTTCGCCTTGTTTACATTTCTCCTCCAGTCTCATCTTGCTGCAGATGAGATTTATTTTAAATACCTCACCGTAACACATTGATTCTAAACTCCAGGATCACAAACGTAAAATAACTTGAACCTGTTTTCTTCGCCTCTTGTAGAACCTGGAGTCCAAACTGGCGTCGTGTCGCAGGGGCCCCGATGGGGGTCCGGGGGCCCCGCCCAGCCAGAACAGCTCCTCAGAGAGCCATCCTGCCAACGGCCTCTACAACAAGGGGTGAGGTTCACAGATTTAACGTTCTTTTGTCATATGTAAATCTTAAATCTATAAGGCATACAAATAAATACAGAAATAAAATAGTGCAAGAAACGTAATGGTGTTAATAAGGAATAAATACAAATTCAACACTGGAATTGCTGCCAAACATGTAGAGATTGAGATTTAAGAAACATTTGGAGTGGTATCTTAATATTTTCCAGAGCTGTGCTTGCTTTTTCCCCTTTTGTTACATCCCACTCAGTGTTTTTTAGAAAGTACCACTTGTGGAAGATGTACGTGCAAATAAAAGTACTGAATATACATGTCTACTTAAGTGACATAAGTATTTTTAAGTGTTATCAAACATATTTACATAAAGTCAAAATCCTAGGATGAGGAATGGCCCCTGGTCAGCGCTATATTACACTAATATTATATTGTCCGATCATTTGTTGCGGTATTAATGACATTTCAGTTCATATACTGTTGGGTAGTCATTTCTTGACAATGTTTAATGAAATAAAGTGTTGTCATGGTGACCTTTTAATCTGAAAACTTTCTGACATACATTTACAACATATTCCCTCTAAATGTATTGGAATAAAAAGCAGCTTGAAATGGGTTTATTCATTCCAGTACCTATCGGTTTACTTGAACTCTGTACCTGAGTAAACACAATGAGTTACTCTCTACCACCAGCCGACAGCAGTCTACTTCCTCTCATGGTTTGAGGTTGTGAGGGTTTCTTTGTATACCGTTCCATTGTAAAGTGCTTGTTGTGTGTTTATAGGCTGGTGAAGAGGTTAGACTTCGGAGCGGGACCCAAGCTGCTGCTGTGAAACGTCTCTCCTTCCACCCTCAGCCCCCCCCCCCCCCCCC